TTGCAAAAAAAAAAAGGTAAAAAATAAATTCTTTTTATGCGGGGGGTTGGGGGTAGGGGGGTTAGGGGTTGGGGGTGGGGGGTGGGGGTGGTAACAGAAAAATTGAATTTTTTTTTTTAAAAAAAGCCTTTTTTCGAGGAGGGGGGGGGGGGTGGAGGGGTTTGATGAGGGTGGGGAATGTTGAGAAGAAGTTTTGGAAAATGTTTTCCCTTCTCTTGATAAGAAAAACATTTTCCTCCAATTGGAGGAAAATGAGTTGATAAGGAAAATGTTTTCCAAAATATTTAAGCCAACCAAATACGGAAAAATTGAAAAACATTTTCCGAAAAATATTTTCCTTCATACCAAACACGCCCAAAATATATTAACTCCGACTTAGAAAAATAGGATGCCAAATTACTTGAAATATTTATCTGGCTTTTGAATCAACAACACAAAATTGTGTGGAGATTCTTCTTCCCTTTTCTTTTATAAATTTTCATCAATCTTTTTAGGAAAATTATTACGTTTATTATGAATTTACGAGGATATCGATATTCACTACTAGAAATCCAGTAAATACCGATCAAAAAACCCGACCAACTTTGGTCGGTTATGGCCAATTACCAACCAAAACGCGACCAAATACGCTTGGACGGTATTTTGATGGTCGTTTTAATATACCGACCAAAGTTGGTCGGAAATTACTGACCAACGTTGGTTGGTAAATTAAATTAAAAAAAAATATTGCAAAAAAAAAAAAACCGACCAAAGTTGGCCGGCATTTTAATTATGTAACCAAAAGATTCACCGTCTGGGAATCGAACCGAGGTGTGCACTGTGGCAGGATACTATTCTACCACTAGACCATTGGTGCATTTTGTTTTAAGATTGTCTTTTTTATTTATTTATACTCTTTAATTGAATTTTCGTATGAAAATAACCGACCAAAGTTGGTCGGTTTTATTAAAAAATAAATTAACCGACCAAAGCTGGTAGGTTTTTTAAAATGACCGGCCGAATTTACCGACCAAAGTTGGTCGGTTTTTTTTAATTTAATTTTTATTTATTTTAATTGCAAAAACCGAACAAAGTTGGTCGGTTTCTTGAAAAATAAATTTTGCGGGACTCAAAATAGTTTCCCGCATTTTTGCGCCAAAGAAAACCGACAAAATAAAATTAAAGTATTTTGAAAAGCCGACCAACTTTGGTCGGTTTTTGGCCAATTTTTTTACCGACCAAAGTTGGTCGGTTTTTCTTGGTCGGATTTTGCCGAATTTTTAGTAGTGATTGTTTTCCAGTCATCCTTAAAATGTCTTTAAGTTAATGCTTTATCATCTTTTTCCAAATTTTCATCAATGTTTATATATATATATATATATATATATATATATATTCTCCACTTAATTTACTAACTCCACTAATTAGTTAACTCTCACATCTTGTGCCAGCTGGCCAACTATAGTTGAGCTACATCAAACTATGGTCTACAAATAGTCTGTTATTTTAACACTTCCATTCAAGCTTGAGGGTGCAAAATGTTATGCACTCCAAGCTTACCTAATAGAAGCTCATCCTGCACCCTTCTAACTTCTAAGCCCTTTAGTTAATAAATCTGCTCGTTGATCATTTCTTCCAATTTGCATAGTATTAATCTTTCCTTCCTTTATTTTGTCCCTGACAAAGTGACAATCTATTTCAAGTTTCTCCGTGAAAAATGGATTGGTTGTAATTTGCAATGCTCATTAGCTATCACAATACACATCCACTAGTTGCTTGATAGGAACCCCAAGCTTTGTACACAACCCTAAAATCCAAATAATTTCTGCAGTTCCTGCTGTTAAACTTCTGTACTCTGCTTCTGAGAACTTCTTAAGATAATTTACTATGTTATTTTACTTCCATGAGATTAGTGATTCACCAAACTTCACTAGATGACTTGTGACTGATCTCCTAGTATTTGAAGAAGCTGCCCAATCTACATCACAGAAATATGTAAAAAGTATATGTATCTTTACTGCTTATTAATATCTCTATTCCTGAAGCCTGTTTGATGTATTTCACTATATATCCTCACAGCTATTTCCTCACGAAATTTTTAGGTGCTTGCATGAATTGGCTTAATGCAAAACAAAGATAATATCAGATCTTATGATTGTCAAGTATATCAGCATCTCTATTAACCTCTGGTATGCAAATACATCCTTTAATGTCACACCCACATGTTCATCAAATCTGCAGAAATGAGCTACTGATTCTACTGGAGTGGCTGTTGGCTTAGTTCCTCTTAATTATAAATCTGATATTAATTGAAGTGCATATTTCCTATGGTTTAGTAGATTTTCTTTACTGGATCTCAACACCTATATCCCTGGTCTTCTAATTTAAACGTCTGATGTAGAGAGTATCTTTTGTCTCCTGAATAAACTGATCATTGGACCCTTATAATTAGTAGATCATCAACATATATTAAGATAGCCACAAGGTCTATCCCTTTCTTCTTTGTAAATAAGGAAGTGAGTCTTCAGTAAGCTTGATATTCATTGCTTTGATGCACGTTTCAACCTATATAAATACTTTACCAACTTGCACACCTTTATTTCCCCATGTCTCTTAAATTCTTGAGGTATCTCCATGTACACTTTTTCATACAAATCTCCTTTCAAGAAAGCATTATTTATGTTTATTTGATACATATTCCATCCTTTGGAGCTACTAATGGAATGACAGATCTCATAGTCACCATTTTCTTTAACTCGTGAGAATGTCTCATGATAGTTCAATTCCTCTCTTAGATTGTATCATTTGGCAACTAATATAGCCTTATATCTTTATACTTTCCCATTAACTTTAAACTCTATCTTGTATATCCACTTTAAGCGAATTGTATTCGTTCCTTTGGGCAAATCCACTATCTCCCATGTCTTGTCCAAGGCTTTGGTTTCTAGCTCTATTGCTTCAATCCACCTCTTGTCCTTTGAAGCTCCTATTAAAATCTGTGGTTCTGTGAGTATTGAAATTTGTATTTTGTTGGGAGCTTTCTATAGTACAGATAATTAGAGAGTGGATATGAAGTGACTCCATGGCCTTCTTTATGGTCACGTAATCATATAACCATAAAGGCTCTTTAGTATTTCTTTGAGATCTTCTCAATGCATGAGCTCCAAACTCAGAATTTTCAAGCCCAACTTCTGATTCTGCAGTTTGTAAGCATTTCTATTGGCTCGACTTCAAGTTCATTTGCGGTAGACTTTCTAGCTGACGTTGTTGTATCCACTAAGTCATCAGTATTGTTATCAGCAACATGTGTAGATTCTATTAGGACATCCACACGAACATGATCAATGTTAGTTTCTGCAGACACAACAGGCACAAAAGTAGTTTCTACTTTTTCAAAGGGTTCATGATCAATTGACACATTCCCCCAGTCAAGAATCATAGAAGGCTAAAACAGTAAAGCTGAAGTACAGGAAGATCAATCAAAAAGGAACAGATGCTCCTAAAAGACCACATCCTTGCAAACGAAAAATTAGTTAGTGGAAAGTTCCAACAACTTGTATCCCTTTTGTGTTTCAGTATAACCTAGAAGAACTGATGGTCGGCCTAGCTGGAAACTTATGTTCCTTAAGCATAGTGGTGGCATAACACCCCAAAACTCTCATGCAAGCAATTGAGGGTTGGCATTGTATACAGGGTGATTTACTAATCAGGATAGAAGTAGGCAGTCTATTAATAATGTACCTATAAGTACACATTCTCCCCATTACCTTGTGGTTAGATATTCCTGAAACTTTAATGCTCTACAGTATATAAGATGTATCGGTGCTTTCTCTATACTATCCCATTCTGCTGGGAAGTGTAGATACAACTACTCTGATATATAACACCATATGCATCAAACAAATTAGTGCACCGCTTACTAAAGAACTTACTACTATTATCAGTTCTAATGGTCTTAACTGTAGTGTCGAATTGAGTTCTTAGCAAGAAACTTCTGTAAAACTACTATAACATCACTTTTCGTTTGAAGCGAATATAGCCAAGTATATGTAGAATTATCTGATGGATTATTATATGCAGCGGAAGCAATCTCAGTATCAAAATCATATGTAATCTAGATAACTAGTATAAACAGAATTTCACGGGTTACCTCTTGAAGCGTGAACACGGCTCTTCACTCACATGAGCCTTCATTTTCACATCGTCTCGTTGAAATCTCCACCAACCCCACGATCATGATCTCCGAACGTTCCACGATTTTCTACTGTGTTACCCAAATAATATCCGGAAATAGTAATTTCGTGCGGGCGAAATTTTCTAGGAAAATATGGCTGAAATTCGGCCACCATGTATCTCTCCTCTAGGTGGAAAATATTACGTGTTTATAGCACAAGTTTTAAGGGTTAAAACCCTTTTCCAAAACCTGTTAGGTTTTTCTGTCCACCAGAAAAAGGATTCATTTATTTCCTATTATTTAGGCACAGCAGGACCACATAATTCAATTAACAAGGCTTCCAATCATGGAATTAATTTATAATCTTGGATATTAATATCCACCATAATTAATTATGAATTATTCCACTAAAAATCCGTAATTGCACTCCTTATTCAATTTCAAATTCATCCATTAAATCTTATTTAACTTCCCATGTTAAGATTCAGATACTAACCAATTAAATTAAACTGACGGTTTAATTTATTGATTATTTTCTTTAGACTTTCGCTTAATTTATTTCATGTGTCGGATACAAAATCCACCGGTCGGGTTTACACATGAAAACTTATAAGCTTTCATAAAGGTATATCATCAATCTCTAAACCGAGACATGGATTCCATCTGTCGCGCCCCCTTTTCTCATGAAATCGGGTTTCGACACGTGACAACTCTTTTAAAGGAAGGGTTAAAAGAGAAGAGTCGTCACCTAACAATTTTTAAGGTGCGTTAGGGAACCTATTTGCAAATGACTCAAGTTTAATTAGTTTGTGTCACCAAAGATCGGGTAAGGGCTCGAAATTACCTCGAAGAGAAGGTGTTAGGCACTCTTCGAGGTCCACAACTGTGGGTCCCGACCGAACTTGAATTATATGGATTAGTCAAATAAATAAAGAGAGAGAGAGCACAAAGTTTGGGAATTTTATTATTATAAAATATTTTGAGCAAATGAATACAAACACTTGATAAGGTAAAAGGGAAATAAGATGGGGGGTCCTATGTTTTTTAGCCTAAAGGTCACCTCGTGCAACATAACTAAAACTTCGTAACTCCCTCAAGATGGGGTGTTACTCGTATTATTTAGCGGGCACAGACTATCATCTCCTGCTACCCAATTACTATCTTTAAGTTATTATCTAAAGCGCACTAGTTGATTCTAAATCGTGCCTTAGGCGTGCACTACCCGTCCCATGCCTATGGTCCAAGAGGCAATGGACCTCTACTTTTGGTGGTTCTAGACTTGACTTAGGCTGCTCAGAAAATGTCAAAATTAGGCGACATACAAAACATGTTGGAATTCACATATAGGCAGTTAAAGGCTCAAGTTAGCCTCCACAATTACACAGCAAATGCACGCGGAAAACAAATTTTCATGCTAGGCAATTTGAGACTAAAGAACCAAGCTGATGTTTGACTTTGTTTACTGGGAAGGTCTATCCAGCTGTTTATCAGGACCTGCAGGCATGAAATGCAGTGTCCCTAGCAAAAGGGACATCAATATGAAATAATGTACCGAGTATGTAAGGCAACGGAATAAGTGAAAGCTAAAATTGAACTGATAATGTAATAAATGATAGTACCTGGGAGTCAAATATAATTTAAAAATATGCTTACCTGCTGATACTGACTCATCTCCCTCAATATAGTAAGTAAAATAGATGTCCGGCCCTATAAGGCTCGGTATGTGTAACTGCTCTGCCGTAGTAGGCTCGCTCATAGGCGCTCGACCATAATAAGCTCTGTATTTCGTCCATTCTGGGATCGCTCATAGGCGCTCGACCACAGTAAGCTCGGTATATAACTTACCATCTGATCAGAGATTACCAGTAGGGACCTGCCCATCGATTATAACTTGATAGTGGTGAAAATATTGTAACACTGCATATATATAGACTCTCTGCTCTCTTGGCTGAAAGAAGACAAAACTAAACTGAATATGAAGTCCCGATAAGGGAGAATACTGTAGCTTATAAGACTAGGATAATGTACATAAATTCAGGAATAAGAACTTCTCTTTATGCCTCGTTATCAAATGCATGTAGTTACGGGATCATGCCAAAATGAAGGTTTAGCCTTAATATGCCTTATCACAATCTGTCCAATAACCCCGTTAAATTCGTCTCATTTCACCTTAATCTACAACAATGATAACAATACTATCATCATGTTATGGAAGGTACATCTACCACACAATGAACGACAAGCTTATTTAAAAATAAAACGGGCAGCATCTCCCCTATAATCTTTACTTCCTCCCAATATGACATTACACCAACAACAACAAGAACAAAATAATAAAAACATGTATACATCATTTTCCATCCTTATATCCATCATAAAATACCACAAAACAGCCCACACACCCCAATCAGTTCATACACAAAACGACAACCCTAGTAGTGTTAAACAACTCGAAAATGTAATGACGAACGACCAACCAAACACCCTGCCATTAGGTGGTGTTTCTCCACACATTATCCTCCCAAACTCCATAAAAACAGTAGCAACAGACACAACTCTACAGTAACACAAAATAGCCCACAAAACAGTCCCACAAGTTCAGCATCTCAAAACTGATTTTTCGACTTGTCTTTTTTTTTTCCTTCAAATTGAGCAAAAAAAAAAACAACAATACATAATTAAGACTCTTATCCTATAAACCAGCCATAAATTAAACTTAAAAATAACTTCACAACCAGCCAATAGTGATGCAACAACAAAAAACATACCACTCTTTTGAAACTCGCTAGGTCTAGTCTTTACAATCGAGTTATAACTCGTACAAGCATAGATAATGGAAGGAGAAGCATAACCCTACCTTGGACTGAGTAGAACCCATGAAACGTAGTCCTTCTTCATCAAAAATCAATCCCCCAATGCAGCTACAAGAAGGAGAAAGAGGAACTAGCAAGCTGTCCGGGGTTTTCGGCACTAGAATCACATCGTAACACCCGGAATAACCTAGGGTTTTTGCGGGATTTTTGGGGAGGAGTTGCAGGGGTTCAATCTAGTTTTCGTGGTCTGAAAGATGAGTGAAATGAATGAGTTAATTATCCCTTAAAAGTCCCCCCTTGTTCGATATAATTGAGGCCTCTATTTTTGGCAAGTAGGTGATGCACTTACTTGTCACCTACCGATCTGCGCAGTCTTGCAAAAACGTGAATATATCTCTACTCCAATGTTGTATTGATGAACAGTTTAATCCATCGGAAACTAGACTCATAGATCGTCAATTTGGTAACTAGATCATCCCGTAATTATAAGTACATTGGGAGAAATGCTCAGCTATATTTGACCTAATTTTCAGTATATTTATGAATGTAACTTGTGATCATCTTTGCCAATTTTTATTCCACAACTTGCTTGACTTCAAAACATACCACACGACTATCAAAAGAATAAAATAACTCATAACATAACCTCCTTATCATTTTGAGCACCCTAGTTTCACCCCAAAAGTATATGTTATAACATTCCCAACTTGTCGACTTTCGACCAACTTTATTTTCTTCAATTCGTTTAGCTTCTAAGAGTTCCAACCCTCTTAGTACTTGCAGTTCATGATATTAAATATTTGTAACCTCCAACTTAACATGATTAACTTACTTTATGTACTTTCAAAGACGATCTCATTTATAAGCTTACATCAATTGACTTACGACGTACTCTCACGTACGAAAATATGGGGTCTAACAATGTGTCTAATGTGGATAGATTGCGTGAGTCGATTCTTAAAGAGGCCTACAATTTGTGGTATCCATTCATTCGGGTGCTGCGAAGATGTAATCAGGATTTGAGGTAGCACTATTTGTGGAGATGAATGAAGAAAGATATAGTGGAGTATGTGGCTCGATGTTTGAATTATCAGCAGGTGAAGTACGAGCATCAGATACCGGGTGGTTTGCTTCAGAGTGGAAATGGGAGCATATCACCATAGATTTTATAGTTGGCTTCCACAGGCCTTGAAGATATTTGATGCAGTGTGGGTTATTATGGACATACTGACCAAGTCTGCACACTTCATTCCAGTTGTGACTACCTACTCTTCAGAGCACCTGGCTCAGATATATTTATGAAATTGTTCATCTTCATGGTGTGCCAGTGTCTATTATCTCCGATTGAGGCATACTATTTACATCGAATTTTTGGATAGCTATGCTGCATGAGTTAGGAACACAAGTCGAGCTGAGCAAGACACTTCATTCCCAAACGGACGGGTAGTCCGAGCGCACCATTCAGATCTTGAAGGACATGCTACGTGCCTGTGTTATAGATTTCGGAGGTTCATGGGATCAGTTCTTACCGCTCACTAAGTTTGCCTACAACATTAGCTACCAATAGAGTATTCAAATGGCTCTTTATGAGGCCTTATATGGGAGGTTGTGTCATTCTCCAACTAGTTGGTTTGAGCCAGAGGAGGCTAGGTTGTTGGGCACTGATTTGGTTTGGGATGCCTAGGAGAAAGTGAAGTTTATTGAGGATCAACTTGGTACGACACAGTCTAGGCAGGAGAGTTATACTGATCGGAAGGCTCGTAATGTAGCATTCATGGTGGGAGAGAGGGTTCTGCTAAGAGTTTCACCCATGGAGAATGTAATGAGGTTCGGGAATAAGGGCAAGT